CGATGTAATGTGGGGGTAATTTATATGTAATTATACCTATTAAGACAAACAGAAAGTTTGATGCAGAAAAAACACTTTAAACTATTAAAAAAAATTTAAACTTTAAAACGGGTCGATTTGACCTGCAACATAACAGGAGGGTTCAGATGCAACAGAAAGTGTTCTAACTAATGTTTTTTTCTCCTTTCATCTCATTTGTAGTATTTCTTGTGTTCTGCCTGCTCATGTGTGCCACTTATTTCACTACGTGGCCAAATGGACCAAACACTTCTTGCACTCATCTGCTTTTGTTGTCCGTCTGCAGACCGCCCCGGCGTTCAAGACCACGCCCGCATCGAGCAGCTTCAGGACCATCTGTCTGAGGTGTTACAGGCCTACATTCGAGTCAACCACCCGGGGGGCCGCCTCCTCTACGCCAAGATGATCCAGAAGCTGGCCGACCTGCGCAGCCTGAACGAGGAGCACTCCAAGCAGTACCGCTCGCTGTCCTTCCAGCCCGAGCACAGCATGCAGCTCACCCCGCTGGTCCTGGAAGTGTTTGGCAGCGAGGTGTCGTAGCACAGCAGGAAGAGGAGGATAAATGTTTGCATAAACACACACTCATCACACACCGGATGATTGAACCAACTCTGGCTGTCTTTTCCTCAAGAAAACTGAAGCTTTCATTTAAAAAAATAAAACACAGACTTTAAACAAGCGGGGAAAATTGACGGCCGCATATGTAGACAAATATCTTCATCTCTTCATTATCTGGTGACCCCGCCCTCTTTCCCAGATCATCTAAACGAAACGTCAACCACAACTATGGATTCACAATCATGACATCTAAATACGCTGACTGTTCCCTGCAACACATGGATCACCACAATATACCCTAACCTTTGTAAAGACAATATTGCATAACATAATTTTTTTAGTTGCATATGCAGGTATTTTAACTCACCCATCCTCAGATTTTCCTCATCAAAATCCAAATTTTTATCATCACCACCTCTTGCTGGATTCTGCTCCCGGCAGTTTCTCCTCCAGCGGAGACGACCCGATGGATGTGCTCGTCACATCCCTCTCACCATCATCCTCATGACATTTCTCTGCGTTTTTTTTCCCCCCCTCTCCGTTTTTCATCTTTTTACCCACGCTGCTGGGTAATAAACTGTGTAGATAGCTACAGACATTTTGTTTACAGTTCTTAACAGCAAAGGCATCCAAATATGTTAAACATCCGAGGCCATAAGCAAGCTCTTAGTAAAGTAATAGAAAAAAAAAACATGGACTATAGGTTTATAAATACTTACACAGGTGCGATATCTGGTGTGTCCTGCCGTTTGAATATGTTCATATGAACGGATTAAAAAGAAGACGGCTGGTTGAGAATGGGAACGAGGAGGAGAAAGGTGCAATTTGGATGAACAATAGGGAGGCGGTTAGATGGAGGGAGGTGCTACGCTTGTGTTTCCCTGTTCATAATGAAAATGTAACAAAAGAAGAATGTATGTATAATTTTAAATAGTGAATATTATAAGTATAAGCATATATTTGCATATGGTATCGGTCAAAGAGTCGGATGCACCGACTCTTTGATTGTACTCTGTATAGAAAGAAATACTTCTGAGAGTGTTGATTAATATAGAGGTTTTTGAGGCTCCTCCTCAGTTACGTATGTAWACGTTATCAAAAATGACGTGAACACGCGTGCTGAGAGAGATGAGAAGCCTGTCTATTTTTGCTACGTGTACAGTGTGTGAGGGAATTGATGGACCACAAGGGGGTGCATTTTCAGGCTCTACCTGAAGGTATTGTGCAACAAAGCACTTTTCTGTTAAACTTTCCGATCGTTTTGGACCTGTGAAGTTTGTAGGTTGACTTACGCGAGCATAATTTCTTGTTTTTGTGGGTGGCTATTATTCAGAAATATTTGTTAGGCTTTTTTTTTTTTTTTTTTTGGATTGCTGCTAAGACAGAGCTAGATAGTTGGACAGAAACCAGCTGCCAGCTGTTGCCTCAGGGAAAGTTTTTTTCTGATAAATTTGTTTTCTTGGTTTTTAAGGCGTGTGTGTGAGTGTGCGCGAGTGTGTGTGTGTGTGAATGTGGCGTAAGCTTACAATCAGGAGACGGAGATTGTTTCTGAAGCTCTAGGCATCACTGTGATTTGTAATCATACTGAATAACAGCATAAGGAAGCTAAGAGATAAACATAAAAAAAAAGCTAATACGATTCTCATTCCTAAGCTCACTTAATCATGAAAAACCTATAAATTAGTTTCAGAAAATCGTACAGTTTATAAGATAACTACATTTTTGGATACGCATTTATCTTTCATGAGAGGTAATTAAATTTAGTGTTTTTATTATTATTATTTTTTTTTGTAGGGCATAGTAAGTCAATATTTTAAAGGCGGTAACAGTGTATAGTTGTAAAAGTGTACAGTGTCTTGCTTTGGGAAAGAAATCCTTCAGGTCCTCCTAAAAGCAGGGCAGAGAGAGATGAAGCATGGGAAATACTTTTTTATGAACGGACGATAAATTTTCTGTCACATTGATGTCATTTCAACACCAGCCATATAAGCAAGGTTCATCACTACTTTATCACTACATATCATGTTTCTGTTGACTTGGTGCATGCTCACACCTCATGCAGGCCTGGATCGCCCCCTTGTGGAAGAACCTTGTAAATACCACTTGCTTAGTCTGTAAATAGAAGCTAGTGTAGGTGAAATACTAAAGAGTTGAACTGTTGGTGGGAAGTTGCTCTGGAGACGCTCTTGTATATGCAATTAAGAGACTAACTCCTTCATTGTATACAGCTTGAACGGACAGTCGAGCAAAATCCGAGGAACTTGGTGAGTTGTTTAATGAAGTGCTGTGTTGACGATTTGTGGTTTTTCAAATTAGCTATTTGACATGGCTTATTTACAGCTTAAACAGCCAAAATGTATCTTGATGGTATTAAAATTGGCCTTCAAAAAAGGTCAGAACTGGCAGGATTGATCAACTTAATACAATGAAAATTTTAGCTAAATCCTAATTAATTGAAAAAAAATTCTGCGTAATACATAAAAAACACCACTGTAAACACATGTAACTTTCTGTAAGACTATTAATACACCCAAACAACTCAATAAGTTCTTGCTATTAAACATTTTGCCTGTCCAGTCCAAGATAATGGATGTACGTCTTTTCTCTCTTTAAATCAATAAGCTTTTAACAATATGACAATATATACAGTATATTTTCACTTTGGTAACTATCTTTTTTTAGTCAAAATTCTTGATTTTATTGAGTGGCTGGGTATACTTTCTAGGTTGGCTTTCTGCTCTGGAACAATGTTTATTTTTTGTGTATTTTTTTTTTCCTTTCACGATGAACAATAATCTCTGGAGCCTCTCTCGAGTGTGCATGATCGAGCTCCCTCTTTGTTTCTCCTCATTTTTAAAGTCACCAAACTTCACCGTGAGGGTGAGGAAGGAAGGGAAACCTGTTCGATGGAAGGAGAAACGTTTTTACCCCGGAGCTGTTGCTTCAATGGAAATATCTGAACCATCACATTGCAATGTCAATAGAAAGGCAGTCTGTGTAAACATGCAGCTTGCTTTTTCATGTCAAAGACACTCAAGTGATCATAAAGTAACACTGCCTCAASCGAACTGATACAGGATCCAGCCAGTGACGAACTGTCGCAGAAACATCTTTGGCGTGCCTCTTCTTTCATCGACCTACCATCTAACCACCTCCTCCTCTACGATAGACCGCTACAGCAAGATTTATCTTCATAGCTTTAAGTTAGCAGCCMGCTAATCTTTGCTTTGGAAATCTGATGCACCAAGGCCTGATGGGAATCCGGGATTCAGGGGAGCAGCTGCTGTGGAACTGGATACGTTTTAAAGTGACTCCTCTGTCTTGTTTAACCCTTTCGGATCGGACCTCCGCGAGACTGTGTAAAATTTGTATAAAGATCATAGGAGATAAAAGTATTTTTAAAATTGCCGCATGTAGAAGTAGGGGCTGGTTGTTCAGACGTAGCGTGCAGAGACTGAGATGTTGCCTCTGAAATCCAAAGTGTGACATTATCTTTTTTTTTTTATTTGCTTCGTGTCTCACTTCACAGCTCTTAGAGTTCAGATTTTTTAACAATCATGGTTTGTTAAATACTTATCAGCTAAAACTTATGCTCAGTATCAACATCTACATCATCAAAATGAATGCAGGACAGGGTGACGGGGCGAGAGTCTGCACGGTTTTTAGGGTTCAGCGAGTGACTCGTTTCTTGTTTACCTCTTATTTTTCTGCTGCTGATTGGTGACGTGTCTCTGGGAATCATTTCTGAAAATTATAGTTTTCAAAGTTTGGAGCGTTATACCTCAAGACAAACCTGGTTATCACTTTTACACTAATGGTTGATATTGTTGCTCAGTGGTTCTCAAACTTTAAATGGCCTGTTAAAGAAGAAAGAAACAAAAAACATTATTATAGGAAAATTTGGCAGTTTTTTACTCCACTTAAAAWGACACTAGCCAAACGGAGGATGCACTAATACCAGTATTGGGTCTGATACCGTATAAATATACCCGAATGTATTCCAGTACCATAGTACCTGATGTTAATTTACTACAGTGTGATGCTCACCTTTTATTTGAGCATTCCTCTTCGGGTAAAATAACGTTCAAAAATCTCCTCATTGGTTTTTATTCAAACACACTAAAACTGACTAAACTAAAGACAAAACTACATCCTGATTATAAAATCCAAACACGCTTGATATAAATCCCGAGTCTTTTACCACCAAACGTTATTTAACCATCGTGTCATTTTACCTTTTTCTTCCTGTAGATCTTTTACTTCTTGACAAATAACTGGGCTTACATCACAAAGGAGGTTGAGAGTTTTATGKTTTTTTTGGCTCAAGAGAAAGATGAGTCTGACGGCAGATTGCAGATTTTTTTTTTCCATGAGACTACCCTGTTTCCTGCAACGTGCTTCAAATAGGACGATCATTTTCAGGACAAAAATGTGTAAACTATTGATCATAACTCCAGTTTTATTTGGCCTATCAACACGAATGAAAAACTGGTGTATAGTTTGAAGTCTCCRCTTTTCACAAAAGTCGCAACAGTCTCAGAGAGGCCGTGTCTTTTCAGCTGCGATGACGGATCCGTTGTGTGACCCGATCATGTGACACAGTATGCCGCTGTTGCGCGTCACTATGTTTGGTCTCCTCGTGTCCAAACAGTCTTACAAATCTGAATAAATAAGTAAAGTTTTATTTATATAGCTCCTTTCACAGAAATAAATTCACAAGGTGCTGTACATTCAGGGAAGGGGGGAGGGGGCAGTTCAGGAACACCCATTCAAGAAGACATACAAGACAAACACGGGGGAACAGGTGAAACCGATCATGCGGCAAACACAGTTGCGCTACCTTTAACAAAAGAAAAACTAAAAACCACACAAGGGAAGAGGAGGGAAAACCAAACAAATATGTGTGATGCACACAATATTTTTTAGGGATGCACAGATATGAAAATTTCAGCCGATATTGATATCCAATATAATTATTGTTATGGCCGATAACAGATATTTACCGATATTACACAAATTATATTATACATAAACGCACAAACACACTTGGGTCTTTTTTGATACCATAAATAAATGACCAGACCTCTGATATGGCTCCCTACTTCAGTTATTCCTGGCAGTGCAGCATCAATATCACTATCATGATCAAACAGATGCTGCTCAACCAATCAGAAACACAAAGCTAAAAAGTGGGAAATCAATATCGTACGTTAATATCGGCCCATTTATACATATCGGACCGATACCAATATTCTAAAAAAATGACCAATATCGGCCGATACGGATATTAATGCCGATATATCGTGCATCCCTAATATTTTTACATTACCTGCTAACAACTGTTGATCTGAACTGGAAATCTGAAATGGAGGTTGAAATGGATGACGTCGTGCCGACTTCGAGAATTATCGTCTAGGCTCTGTTTGAGGAGTTAACCTTCGGTTTTCGAAGCAATTGTAAAAAGCGTAATGATTTTTATTAGYGCTCATATTGTACTCCATTTGTAAAACAATATGGCATTGGTGCATCCCTAACATCTAAACTGGTTAATATGAAATCTGTGTAGAGGCACCTTAAGTTAAAGGTACACAAACCACAGTTTGAGAACCTGATTCTAGATCTGACGTACGAGTGCTCAATGAACCTGAAAAAAAAAAAACCGTTGAAGTCTCTCCTCGGCCCCTTACCCCTCGTCTCMTCAACCCAGGTCAGCAGCTCCACCTCAGTAGCCTTACTTACAAAGACCTCTCTAAGCTGGAGACATTTACCAGATACCTCAGTCACATGACGACTTTGTACAATAGCCTTTCAACGGAGCCAAACACACACACACACACACACACACACACTTGAAACTACAACTTGCTTCAGCAACTTTCACCCAGTTTTTCATAAACCTTTCAGAGAGCTTGCAGCCAGCTCCTGCATGATGAGGGACGTCCAGTAGAATCCTGTTGCCGCCATCGGCCAGTCAGTATACGAGCGGATCCCAATGTTCCTAAACGTTACCTGTCTGTCTGCTTTACTCACATCCTCCTCCTTTCTGCCTCATTCTGTGTATTTTCTGTCCTGATCGTCTCTGTCCGGACAAACAAATGGTGTTCTGCCAAGCTTCGGCACTGTGTTTAACCAAAAATACTACCTCTTCCTGTCTGCACATATAAATATTTTTTTTGTTGCAGCRTGTCTAATGTAAAAGATACATTTTTTTAAACATTAATTTAGATTTTTTTTTTTATATGTACAGTAGTATTCATTTTTTTTTAGTTTAATTTTAAATGCTGGATAAATTTTACCTCAAAATTTTATGTAAGCCTACAAATCTTAAATCTGCAGTATGGAGCTTCAGACTCCCCCATCCCCCCGTTAGAGCGGTAACTAACATTTTTATTGTACCCTTATGATCTGTACCATCTATAATCTGTTTATTCTCATAGTATTTTTTTTTAATTTTGGTATTTGTGGTGCTGACGTCCTTTAAATATTTTATTGTTCTGAGGAATCATATTTTTATCCCGTTAGTTCGTCATGCTTGTCATTATTGAGTAATTTGTTTTAGTCACTAAAACTTAAAATTCTCACAAAGCAATTCTTGCTTATTTATGTAAAAAAATAGATTTGATATCTATATTACCTAAATATTTAAGTGGCTTGGATGAGCTTGGAGAGTTCCAGTAACGAGAAAAAAGTAAAAATATGCGCTTCACGATTTAAGATTTGTTGGTTAAATGATTATTTTCTTCATCATTCCTTAAGATGACAGGTTATGTAGTAAACTGAAATCATTTTTAACAAATCTGTAAACAAAGCACCTTATGCACCTTTTTAGTTTTTATTTTAGTTAATGTACGACATGACAGCCCCTCAACGGGGCTAATTTAAACTATCGACTAAACTTTTACAACTTGTGCACGTTCATCGAAATCTAGAAAAGTCCTAAACTCCAGCTCTGATGTCACAAAATAAGAGGCGTTTTTTTTTTCCCACCGTTTTCCCACAATGCACCTGGCAACCTTTGTGTTCCCCATTCAAAGCTGTTTGTGCCCATTGTGTTACGTGACCCCTTATTTATTTATTTTTTTTATATTTCAGGTAGCTGAAGACTTTATAAATTTWTTTTGTAGCAACATGGACCTATAAACGTATAGATTGCCTGATCCACAGTAGCTTTGCTGAGTAAGCTAATGTAGTTTATGTTTCAGGTAATGTTTGATTCCTTTCAAGTCTCCTTTTACAGAACAGTGTTCGAAATGCCTGAAAAACTTGTTTGCAGTTTGTACAGTACATTTTTTTCATAACGACTTTTAAACGAGTAGGATACAAATCTATTAAATATATTAATGAATAGCAATCAACTATAAACAAAACCTTAAAATGTAGTTAACAGCCTTTAATATACAAGCCCAATTCTGAAAAAGTTGCCTTATTTTTCTTTTATTTTTAAGTACTTTTTTGTTTAAACATTCAATATGTTTATATTCCACTGTAAATAAAATGAGCTTATGAGATTTCCAAATCCTCTCATTCTGTTTTATATTTACATTTTACACAACATCCAAGTGTTTTCAGAATTGGGGTTGTGGAATATGGTGCTGGATTTGCAGACAAAGCTCAAGCTGATCAACTGTTTCAGCTTCACGTAATAATTCAGAAATTAGTGATGAAGTTCCCGTTGAGTTATGATAAGTATTCTGCTCTAATGTCCAAAGTGTAAAAAAGAAAACGGTGGCTAAAGCCTGGAACTAACACCTTTCAGCTAACCAGGTAACACCTGTTAGCTTTGTTGCAGCAAGTTTTTTTTTTTGTCTCCTTTCTTTTGCTCTTCAATAAGGATTTGCAACATTGGGATCCCATTTTAGCTGTTCAAGATACAAATAGTGATTTGTTTTGTTTGCTTTCCAATCAGGCGTGTCTGTCTCTCTGTCACACACACAAACACACAAACTGCAGCTCATCACTCTCAGCACTCTGCCTTTTCTTTCTCCACCAACTCATGTTCAAAATTTAGGTTTTATTTGTTTCATTCAGTTTTCTGAATACTCGGCCTTCAGWTTGTGTCTGCTGTGAGTGACACACGTTAGCTTTAGTAACCGTTTTGTATTAATTCATCACTATTCAGCCGTTTGTTAAAAAGTTCACACGTTTTTAATGTTCAACTGTGACGGAAACATTTCAGGATGCTGCCGTTTTGCATTACGTTTGCCGGTTTTACATAAAATAAATTGCGATTTCCAATGAAAGTGTGTCACACAGCCGCAAAGTCTAAAGGTCGCTCGAAACAGACGATGGATTTATTGATTGAAGTTAGCTGCGAGCTAAAAACAATTAGAAGAATCAAGGAAASCGGATTTTTATGTTTGAGCGTCTGGAAAGTTTTGACCCAACAGAACGTCGACCGTCGCTCTGAT